GCTCCCGCGTCTCGCGTCCCCATCCCTCGCCTGGCAATATCGATCGCCGTGCGGTCACATCTCGCCACGCGCTCGAATTGGACAGTGGGCAGGGCAAAGACGACGATTTTTTATAATTAATTACTCGTTAACTATTGCGAAAATTGCAAATGGTTCAGGACTTTTCTGTTCATCTCAATCCGTTCTACCTTCTCACGAGCTCTGGCACAAATGTTGTGACTCACCCTGTATACTTACCTACCTGATTATACCAACTAATACAGTTATAGTGTTTGCATAGTTCTACATACTGTTGTTGTTTATTGATGCACATAAATTATAAATAATAGGAAAACAAATATCAAGTACAATCGTTCTAATTATTTTATCACAGTATATTCAGTTTTCATATAGAATTTTTTAATAAACATTCAATGGATCTCTAATAGACATCTATCTAACTTTTACCTTGGAAGTAGACATCCATGGAGCTATACGTACAGGTTTAATGGACATCTACTGGATGCCAATTTCTATAGGGTGTTATACACACACATCGTAAATTAAATTGAAGAAAATAAAGCTAAGGATACAAATAGAGAGAAAACAATGTATTGTAAAGAAAAGAGAACAGTCGTTCGAAATCGGCGAGGGAGTTTCTCTATAGATTAACTTGTTTCCATCGGGAAAAATTTTATAGTCATCTTAAATAACTATAATGTCTAATAGAAAAATGACATGTTCTAATAGAAATATGAATTATACCAATTAAAATAACATTCTTTGTAAAATAATTTAGTCTGTAATACATTATTTTTTATTATACTTATTTTTAAATAAATAAAATAATTAAAAGCTTTTAAATCATATTACAATAAAAAGAAATTATTATAAGACTTTATACATATGATAATATTATTATACGTATAATGTAAAAATATATTATTATTATTACATGCTTTGTATTAAAAAGAATTTTTATTGAGAACAATATTACAAAATATACATATCCCTTATTATTAAAACATGTGTAATAATCAGAAATATACAATCTGTTTTCGTAAATTGTTTTTATTTTATTGATTAAAATATAAGTATAATAAAGCAAAATATAACTTTTGTAGTTGCAGCACATTTATTAATAATTTTAAAAATAGGAACGCGGAGAGTACATATATATTTTCATGTAACTAAAATTATATTGTATGCGTGTTACAAATGTGCTTTAGTAATTGCACGAATAATATTCACTTTTGAATTTATTCGTATGTACTTATTCAGGATGTTCTGTTGCTCCTTCTTCCGATTCTGGCGTGATCATCCCGTGATCTTTATGTTTCTGTTCTTTATGTGCAATTCTGGAGACGCATGCGTATATAGAGAAACATTTTTCACATTCATCAGTAATAATTCTCGCTATATAAATAAAAATAGAAAAAGAAGAATAAAGTGATATTAGAATATACATATAACCATATCATCTATTGTATTTTAATAGCAAATGTATTACTCCAAAATTAGTGCAGTGCACATGCAAAAATTGTACGTAATACTTTTTTATATTGTCTTGCTAACTATAGGGTAGTTTTTATATATTTGTAATAATTACTATATAATAAAATAAATTACCTTCTCTCATGCATTTACTCATAGCTGTATGCACTTTGTCAGAGTCTGCCTCACTTGTCAACATTTCATCTATTTTTGCATGAACTTGAGATTCCTTAATATCTGTTCCTTCCATCTGATATTATTTTAACACCATAAATAATAACATTGTAAAATGTAAATTATAATAATTTTGTGCAACTTAAAAGCTGAATAATTTAAATTGTTTAATAATATTTATTACTAATGTGATAATGTATGATATGTTTTTGTTAACAACATATAACGATATATATCACTTTATATATCAAGATTTGACTTCAAACTTACATAATGTTACATTAACAGTATTACTAATTATTGTATTATAAAATTATTTACTTTTTAATAACATAAAATTTTCTTACTTAAGGTAGATTAATCTTGCATCGTTGGATATTAAAATATGTATATTTGTAAACACTTACTAAATTCATTTTTTTCATGACGCACGCAATCAAGCAGCCACTTTTTCTTGTTCGTCCAAGATTTTCAGGTTCTGTATGTACGTCAGCCATTATGTCTCTTTCGTCAATAAATTCGTCTAAAAAATAAAATCAATAAATGCAAGCAAATTTACATGTTTGCAAAAATGTCTGCTCATACAAATTTTTAAGAAATTCTAACAAAAAAATGTCCAATGAAACAAATGCTAAAGTAAAACAGATATTATAATTCATTAAGAAAAAAAGATTAACGGTATAGGAAAACAGCAATACTGAATAATTATAACTTACCCAAAGATACATCAACTTCAGCTGAGCAAGTTTCAATATCATTTTCAATTTTGTCGTGAACTTTACTTCTGGCCTGTTTCAGAAACGTTGAGCTACACGACTGAAATTTTTGAATTATTTTTATCAATAAAATATTCGTGTATTTTTATTTGTATTTTTAAAGTGTATAATTTTAAATAAATTTTTGTAGTTTATTAAACTTGATCAAGTGATATATTGAGTGAATACTTACAGCAAGTATTAAAACACAGACGCAAAGAACGAGACCTTTCATTTTGCGTAAGTTATATTTCTACTGCAATGAATGTAAGAATATTCGAGATCTACAATTACGTACCTATATATACTCCCATTTCAAAATATAAAAAGTATAGGTTAAAGAAACATGATCATCGATCATATGAATATCAATTACATAACATTACTGACTAGAGATAATTTGCCATAATGATAATATTTAAATATGTTCTAATATGAAATGGTAAGGATAAAGCAATGTCAAATAAATAATAAAAAAATGCTTATAGTGTCTGCACAGTTTTACGTACTGTTGTTCTTCTTCATTAATGTACATAAATTATAAATAATAGGAAAACAAGTATTAAGTACAATCGTTCTATAATTTTTTATTAAAGCATAATTAGTCAAGTTTGATATTCATATATGAAAAGTTTTAAGATAGATAGATCTAATCTATCTATAAAAAGTTTTAATACATTTTTGTATTAATTAATTTAGTTAAAAATTTTACTTTAATTAAGTTTATCTCATGATTATTATTCAAACATTATACGATAGCGATATACATTATTAATTATTAGAAATCTGTGAATTTTTTAAAATTTACAGCAAAGGTAAATTCAAATGTTTGATTAACTGACGTAACCTAAATATTGAAAGAATAATTGTAAAGTAATCAAAATATGAACCTTGGAATATGTTCTAATAAGATATCAACGTACTTATACATCTGAAGACACACATATTGTCACACATATGTATGAGGGAAAATTACATACATAAGTCACACCTTAGTAACTTCTATTAGCATCAGAAGAGTTTGTTTTAGTGATTTATCATTATCTTTTGCTTACTTCATATTTATGTGATCTATGACCTTACAGTTCTAATCTATGCATTTTATAAATTAAAGTAGTATATATGATGCTGCGTTAGGCTTTAGTGCGTTCTTGTACAAGTACGTTTACAGACAGTAGAATAATTTATTAACAAGATGAAGAGATTCATATTCTATATTTGCACTTTTGTGCTCATTGTGAGTATCTTTTTTGTTGTCATAAAAATTAAATATGTATTAATAAAAGACATAGATATTTTTACATATGTAACACGAAAGATTTTTTACATACGTAATAAGTAATAATTAAATCGTAGAAAATTTGTTACAATTTGCTTCTGTTTTTCTCTCCCATATTTCTGATGTTTCTGTATTTTATGTACACTTCTTGCAACGCACGTCTACAGAGAGAAACACATTCTTGCGTAATACTTCTTGCTGTATGAATAAAAATAAATTATGAATGTTATCGTTATTGTACGTATATGATATATAATTGATGAGCAATTTATGTTTGTAATATGTATGAAAAAGAAACTTAATTAACTCAATGAATGATAAAATAATGAACAAGTAATGTATTTTAGTCTTTCGCGGTTGGCTCGAAGTTTGGATCCCGCAATAAAAATTACAATACTTGCTTAACTGAAAATGATGTGTCTGACGGTAAGTCCATATGTATATGTATAATGCTAATTTTTATTCGGTTTGTATTTCTTCCTAACTACATTAACGTTCTATAGAAAGTTATTTAATATTTAATTTTTAGTTAGTTATTTGTTAATAAAAGTTTATTATATATCATTTCCATATAAAAAAACTGAAGACTACTTAACATAAAAATTAAATAAACTTTTATATTGCATTTAATCTTAATTTATATCAATATTTGCAACTATTTTTACTATTTTAAAAACTATCAGAATTTAAAAACTATACTAATTCTATTAAACCTCAAAACTAATTATCTCTAAATTAATTGAAATTAATAAAGAAAAATATAGATATAAAAGAAAATATTAATAATAATTCGGATATTTTAAAGAAGTATGATTTATTCTAAATATATCCAAAAATTGTTGTAAAAATTGATTTTATACAATTTTTTCGTATACTATAAGCGACAATAAATGAAATTCTTGTAAAAATTTACATAAATATAATATTCATATTTTTAAATTTATTTTTTAGACGACATGCTAACAGCAGAAGATATAATACAAGATAAATACAAACAATCCGAACATCAAGAGAAATTAAAAAAAAACGGTTGCATCTACCAATGTGTGCTACAGAAAGAGGGGTTGGTTAGTGACACTTTTTTATCTTCATACACCGATATCCAAGTTACGAACTGATAAAATAGTAGAACAATATTGAAGACATAAAAATGTAATTTTTCTTATATTTCCCAATTAAGGTCATTTGGTCATAGAATTGGTATTTTAATTAATTATTAGTTTTATTGACAAATTAATGTTTTTTAAATATTATTACATTAAACAGAAAATAACAATAATCTAAAAAATTAAACATAATTTCTTAATTTAAAGAATAATCCAATGTTATTAATATTTTACATGTTTTTCTTGTAAATGTCAGATGGAAGGATCGGAATATGACGTAGAGAAAATGCATAGTGAGTTTACCAAAAGATCTACTGCTCCAGTAGGATCAGAAATATTTACAGCTTTGGATAGTTGCATAAATGAAAGTAAGTTATGTAATCATAATATGTTCGGATATTCCCGTTATTAATAAATATAAGATTACTGACTTTGTTTACTGAAACTGTTTATAGTGTTAATTATTAAATAAGCTTTTACGCAATCAATTCATCTTTATCATCTATATTCATCTATATATTCGAACGTCATAAATAGAAAAAGGGTGTAATATATGTATTTTACGTCATGCTATTTTCTAATTAGTTTATTCTCTATTCCAGCAAAAGATCTTACAGAAAAATGCGAAAAAGCTTTCAGTTTAACGAAATGCTTCTTACAAGCTGAAGAGAGAATTTATCCTACTCCTGGAAATAATGAAGAACACGAACATAAATCCGAATAATAATTAATTAAAAAACAATTAATATATAATTAATACACAAAAATTTGCAGTTTACAACATTTCCAATAAAGATACATTTATACAATTCCGTATTGATATATTAATATAAAAACTAAATTTTCCTTTAAATGATACCGATTCTTTATAAAAGAATTAGTTTTATCGATCTTTTAAAGTTATAATATTATATAAATAAATAAAATTTGTGTAACGCGCAGAGAGAGAGAGAGAGAGAGAGAGAGAGAGAGAGAGAAAGACATATAATTATGTAATGGCATTAAGTTTAAGTTTGATGACATAATTCCGTTATCTTAGAGTAAAACTGTATGTTTAATTAAATATGTGTTGCACATATTGCGTTTCTTATCATTTACATAATTGTTTTTATGTGTTACTTGTGTAGCAAAACATTTTTATCATTAGAAATGCTTGCACAATTGTAAAATTTTCTCTTTACACTTAAATGTGTGTTTTATTTTATTAACATTGCATCCTTAACTTGAACATAACGTTTAAAATAAAATAACGTAGTATTATAATTATATATGTATATAATTTTAATGTAATATGATATGTGCATAAGTACGATATATCCATAATAAACTACAAGTATTTTTGTTTTAACAAGAAGAGAGTAATTCTTTTTTTAGTAAAAGATTATTAATGATATCTGTAATAATTATAATATAATTTACACTTTAATACTAACACATCATAAAACTTATATACATATTTTAATAAATAATACATATTAATTAATACGTGATTTTTATTTTGGTTTGTTTATATCTTTATAATTCTTTTTTATACAAAGCAAAATTGCTTATTGACTAGAATCAATATATGTATATTTAGCATTGACACATAATGACTTAAACATATACATGTATATATTAGATAAATCAGTTTGTGTGTGTGTGTGTGTGTGTGTGTGTGTGTGTGTGTGTGTGTGTGTGTGTGTGTGTGTGTGTGTGTAACAAAATAACTAATAAGATACTTTGATAACTTAAAATTATATATATTAATAACGAATTAAAAACAGACATCGTATCGGCCTTTTATTTTCCAGCAAAATCTATTACGTACAATATCTACACAGTCTTCAACGATTGATGAAGTTACATAATGAAATTTATGTGACAGTGTCTACCAATTAACTAATATCTATTTGAATAATAGTACCTATTATGCATAAGTTTATAATTTAGATTAATAAGTTTTTACCTTATATTCTTAAAATATAATTACATATCTTCTAAAATATAATTATGTTTATAAATTTCTACTCTACATTCGCATTTATAAGTCCACATAACTAAGTATGTTTTATGTTTTGCAGTTATTTTATGCCGTCTATTAATAATCATAAATAAATTATTACAATAATATCACGTACTTAGCGTTACTAAAAGTATGTTGAAGCATTCGATGCATGTAGCAACTTTTCCTCGAAGATATAAACTACAAAAAATAAAGTATATACGTAAAGTTTCATATTATCCGCATGATATTTAAGGAGATATGGAAGAGAGTGTACGTACAACAACACGACTAAGAAAAGATATTTTTAATCTCTTATTTCTCGTATACAAATATCACGAATAAATGCGATAATGAGACTTCGATATTGATCACAGATTAAGTGTCAGTCGCACATTGCTTTTCCTACGAAACTAACTACTGTTAAGTGTAATACTATCATAAACTGTTCATAACTTTTCTATTTTTTATTTTCGAATTGTCATGTACTTATCAGAAGAATTCGCTACATGCTTCGAGTTTATTCCTTCAGTCAAGTTTATTTATACATTTTTATATGAACTTATTCATATAATTCATAATTATATGAATATAACTCATAATTACTAAACCTACTGTATGCGATGTTAAATTACTTTTAATATAATCTTGACAAACTGCATGTATACACTAAACGCATAAAAATATACGTTTTTGCAATATATTTATCTTCCGATGGAATTTATTGGAAAAGTTACAAAAGCTTGTAAAAACTTTGTAAAATACAATTTAATTGAGCATAATTTCAAGACTAATTTAACAAAACCATAATGTTCCAATTTTATTGCACATTACACACAGAGAGAGAATAATTATTTATGCAAGTTTCGAATTTACGCGTATCCGAAAGTATTGTGCGTAAACGCATAGTGAAATATTTGTATTTTATAAAATCGCATAAAAGAACTATTGATTGTTTCTAAGCCTATAAGCTTGGATATAAGACTAAGAACATACGTACTCTCACACATGCCTTCATACACTGCAATTGTGAATGAACCCGAGTCAACCACAGTCATTCTAATACCGGACGCCACATAATTGAATAAGTTTGAAACTGTACGGAGAACTTCACGTCCTCGACGTATCTTTCTTCCAGTTAACCGAAGCGGGTAATTTCCGATTCGTGCCATCCAAGTTCAGCCTACTCTTCGAACATTTCCTACATGTTAGTCGCCAGAAAGCTAATCTGAAGTCTGCCGAATAGAAAGCGTAAATGAATGGGTTGATGGCCGAGTTGAACCATCCTAAACACATAAAATCACTTTTGGTAAATTTCGTACAAGTATTTAATAATAATTTATCATGCAATTGTAAATGTAAAGGACATTACAATGAAATGAATTACGAGCTACGGGTGGGTGTTGGTACACGATAAATAAATCACATTTTTGTAATTTAATTTATTTGGTTTTTATGCTTTATTGTATCGAATCTTTGCGTTTAATTCAGCTTTGACTTATCAAAAATAATTTTAATTGAAAAACATAATTTTTATTTGAAATTATTGAAACACAAATATACTTATATTTCGGATTTTTGCTACAGCTTGTCAAAACTTTTATCAATCCGTAAATAATAGAAAAAGACAAACGTAGCTGAGAACATCATATATTTGGAAACATTGTATGTAAAAGAGACTATACCTAGCCATGTCAAGGCTGGCATGAGGACATCCGGTGGTTGCACGGGCACGAAGGGTGTTACCAGATACAGAATGAAAAACGGCAGCCAGCATGCGACGAAACCACCTACAACCACCGCCAGGGTGCCCGCAGTTTTCGTTTCCCTGGCGACCCTGTTGATGCAGCTTTGCTGATTACCTCGAATTGTACCCAACTTTTTGCACATATTTGTTAGTTCGGTATCCTCGGATGGCCTGTCGCACGTCATACCGCTTTCTGGGTAATCCGTACGTTGCGCCTTAATGCTCCGGCCACGATCAATCTGTAGAAAAATAGTTTCGCATATTTTTCACGCATTAATATCGCAATATATTGGGAATTTAATTGATATATTAAATCCATTTAAGCCTTTCTTTGTCTATATATGCCTTGACAAATTTTAACAATTTGAAAGTTCACGAGGTGAAAAAGTTATCTAGTTATTAAATATTACATAGAGTTTTATAACATTTTAGAACTTTCAATATCCGCAAAGTGAGAAAAGCGTGTTAGCAAGATTTTCTGTTACAAACCGCAATCGTTTGTTTCGCCTGACTCTTTCGAAGTATTTCTTATTCTGCCACCGTAATAAATTGCTCAATGTCTACTTGTGTTGTTCTCGTTTGTAGCCGAAAGAATCGTTTTCCAAACTACTTTCATTCAGTTTCGTAGTATAAAACATAGTGTTAACCTTATAGATAAATACATGCTTAAATCTTCTCAAACAATTGAATTTATTATAAATGATATTATACAGTCCGCAATTGTACATTTTTTAACATTAGTTTTATCACTAATGGACAACAAAACAAGTTTGTTGTGTGATTTCCATTATTTTTCTTCCTTTTATATTAAAATCATGATATTTTTGCAGTTATGTAATAACCAAAGCCGATAAGACATAATGCGCAAAATGATTGATAATTGAGTATATAAAGCCGGATAATGTGGATTATGAGAAATCCGTGTCTCCCATCATGGTACTAATACCTGTGCTATTCTACGTCCGTCATTTATGAGAAAACCGTGGGTTCCGCTAATCTGCTTTTCATTGAACTACGAGAGCGAAAGTTTATCTTTGATCGATGACGCCAGTAGAATTACGGTACAGTTTGCGTTATAGTACATAGTTTTTCTTTTTTTCTTTCCAATTCGAAATGTGCGCTTGCTTTGAACTCGGAGAATAGCTCGTTATCATATTTGTCTTTATCACATTAACTTTGTTGTTAGGAACAATTTCCCTGATTATTCGTTCTGTTCGAGCTTTTCCATCTTTCTATCTCTGTACGTACCGAAATGTCACTTTTAATTATAGAAATAAAAGAAGTTATGTTCTATTTGCGAAATAAATGACATTTCGCTCAATGAGAATCTAAAAATATTTCGGAGAAAGCTTTTTGAAACAAATAAAGAGATAACTTTAGATTCCTTATTATGAGTCTGCGAAATATTATATGCATTTTTACGAACTTTTAGAATTATCTCTGTTATTAATCGAGAGATATATATATATGTATATATATCGCAAATCAGAATATTGACCCAGTAGAATTTCAACGAGTCATTAATATCTGCCCGTCAAAATTAGCTCACAATATCACCTACCGGACGAATAAACAAAGCGTAATGTTACAAGATTAATGTATAGGCAGTTGTGTGTAAGCGTAGGTGCGCGTAACGTGTAATCGTATTAAATTATATTAACGTCCTGCTCTTATGATATAACTCAATAATTATTTGAATAAAAAGATTATAAAGCCTACAGAGAAGGACATAAGATAAATGTAATTGTAGCAAACCTATAATATTAATATTTGGAACTCTTTAAAATAATTCTTTTTAATAGAAGATTCTTATTTATTTAACAAACATGACACACAGTTGCATTAGAGTTTATTGAATTGGACCTAACATAAGTATCTAATAAAAACGAATCAACGGTCGTATGTGGAGGAAACGTGTCGTGTGTCCAGGGAAAACTAAATCAAACAGTTCTTACCGTGATTTTACGACGTGATCGGACGTTGTCCCCCTCGTTGGTCTTCTCCAGATTTCTGTGCCTGCTCGCTATAACGCAGGAAATTCTGCCGTACACATACAGCATTACCAGCATGGGCAGGAAGAAGCTGCCCATCGCCGAAAATATTACATAGGACGAATCCATATTGTAGGAGCACTTTTTGACATCGCGGTTAGTCGCGCGCGGGAAACAACCCAGTAAAGGCGGGCTCGTTATAGCGCCGGCCATGATCCATACAGCGACGATCATCAACCCGGCCAGTCGTTTGCTTCTGCGTCGACGGCTGTATATCAGCGGCTGAGTTACGGCCAGATACCTTGAGCAAGGAATACCGACAATGATGCGATAAATTCCGCACAATTGTATCTCTGTACGTGCTGAATCGCCGCAAAGCGCAGGATGCCAAATGGTGTAGAATGCGCGCGCGATGTTGGAAAAATAGACAAATAGCTGAACGAATTACGTCAGATTTGTCGGAGCACCCTTAGCTCTAACTTACTTGAATAAGAAGATATATATGTACTAAAACTGTATTTCTGAAACGCAACAAATCGTAACTTATTTGTTAGATAAGTTTGCGTGTTTGTGCATAGCGAATGCGATAAGTTAGAAGTTTTTCACTGCACGTTGAGCGCAACGTAAAAAAAAAAAGTTCGTGCATCAATGCATAGTCAATACGATAAGAAAGGATAAAACAAAAACTATACGAGATACAAGAAAGATACTTGTACTGAACAATGTTGATTCGTTTAATCGTAAAATCAATCGTAAAATAAAATCAACATAATAGAATACTTTTACTTCAATGAACTCTCTCGTTGAAAAATTCACCCTTTTATCACGTTTTCATCAGAAATCCTTAACGCCCGGACGTTAGAAAATTTACATCGCACGAAATCTCATTTTTAATCAAGGAATAATCTATCATTTTGTGAAAGATTGAACGGTTGGCGGGATGGCTTCCCGGTAATTTCGTTATCTACGTGACAAGATTTGGAAATGCGTGTGATCGGGTTTACCTGTCTATAGATATGGCGCATAACGAGAGGATGCTGGCCGTGCAAAGTAGGATGTCGAGAGAGACCCAGAAATCGCACAGCATTTCGCCCAACTCCCAAGTCCCTCCTGTAAGCTTCAATGGATATCCCGTTCGATAAGGCGCGTGAAAATACGATTTATACGAGGTAAAAAAGAACGTCTCTTTTTGCATAACGATAATGTAGACTACACTGTAAAAAGATATGTAAAATTTCATACATAACAAGTGTAGCGATTACACTATTAATAACTAAAACATAAATTTATATACGTTTATAAAAAAAGTTTTTACTCTTTGTTGTGTAAATACTTGTTTATGCGTGGTGAAAAATTACAAAAAAATTGTAAAATTTACACAATTAAAAGCAAACAGTTAATTACTTATTATATAAGGTAATAATTTTACCTACAAAATGTAAATTTACTGACATATGTAAATATACATTTTTAATAGATGGTCCCAATATTACCCACTATAATAATTGTAATTTTATATGTAATTTTTTTACAGTGTAGGATTTACAATGCTATACGCGTCCGTGCGAGACTATTAAATGCTGACAGTAATTAAATGCCTCTCCAAGTGTTGTTATCGTCCCGCAATTAATTTTTCTCCATAAATAACGCACACTAATTGCGATAATTAAATAAGATTGTATTACAATGGCTTACGTGAAAGCTCGTAGCTTAATACCAAAGATGAATTGGACATTTCGCGCTCGTTTATTGCATTTTACCCCCTGACGAACACATGCGTACCTGTAACAGTACAGCTGGAGGCATCACTGCTAAACCGACTAGTAAATCCGCGGCAGCCAAGCTAGACACAAAACAATTAGTCACGGACCGTAATCTCCTCGTAGTAATTACAGCCGCGATCACTAGAGTATTGCCAACCTGTAATAACAATACGAGGAAGTGTCATGATTGTTGAAAATGCATGCAGACGTAGACGAGTGCATTAAAATGACTCACTAATATTATGCATTTTAGTAAATCTGTAAAGGCTACTGCGTTCTATATTTTAGAATGCAAATTATTAAAACCACTTAACGTATCGTGCTTCAGTAAGACATTTAATACCCTCAGAGCGTTATTAAAGCAGATATTCTGATGTAAAGAATGCTGGAAATTTCAGTTATCGGATGCTATAACTGCTTACTATAGTAACAATGATCAGCATCGTGAACAATCCTGCTAGAATAAGATCGGTCCAATTGGGTAGGTAATATCCCGTATCTGTATCTCCTTCGTCCGCCGATACTGTATGGTTCCATTGGTAAATGTCCTCATGGTAATCAGCCGTTTGATTCGCCATGACGTTTACCCTCGATCCATAGATAATTTCTGTTTCGCCGTGCGTATGTTGTAAGACATCGTGATTTCTAAGAGCAGTCCATATCCTAAATAATACAAATAAGATAATTCGTGTAATCTTATTACTTGATTAAATTCACAATTTAGTTTATCCCGCCTCTATAAATTTTTCAAACTATTACCACATTTTTCTCTTACTTTGATTGCTATAGTAATCAATAATAATTAGGCAAAAATAATTTTTTACTTTTTATTTAATGTCACCGTGTATGATGAATAATTAGAAATGCACATAATGTAAAATGGTTTTATACATAAGCCATTTTATATAAAGCCATTACGTACTTATATACCTATATATGCAAGTAATACCATAACTCATAACAATACATCATTCAACAATGACATGACAAATAAAATTGTGAAAAAGAAAGATTTTAAATACTTATTATTAGTTTTAATTTTTTTTACATATATGTATATGTGTGTAAGCAGGTCAATTACAAAGCTTAGACTTTTTATTTAGATTGTCATGAAAAGCGGAGAATATGCAAAACGTGTGTAGAGCATATCGAATTGAAGTGTGAATCCTGCGGACGCATATGAATTGAATTTAAAATTGATTAAAACTCACGACATGTGCACGTGGAAATATGAATATAGATAAAAATGATCTGGATGGAACTTTTAAAACTTTCTATGGTCACGCGAATATGCGGGTGAAATGGTCCGACGTTTTCTGCGAAATATGGAAATGGATCGTACACCAGAAAATGGCAAACGCACGGGAGTTTGCTAAAATTGAATGAGAAAAGTCAAATAGACTATGGAAAGAAGCCAGAGCAGGAGAGATCGAACACTGCTAAACAATGAAATTATATGTCAAATAATATGAAAAGAAACTCGCATCGAACGAAACAAATCTTTCGTTCGTGTTAATATTGCCTTCGATAAAATAAGTATTTAATCTCCAGTTTTAACGATTTGTTTAAATATTATTAATATGATTATACCACTGGAGATGCAGGAAATACAAATAGCATTTGCACTACCGAAAGTACGGTATCAAAATCTACTAAGGATTAAAAAATATTAAATATTTTATTCCTTGACAATTTAATCATTTAATTCAATTTCCCTAATTTGCATAGTGAATTTTTATAATCAGCCACACTAGTTCATTATCGGTTTCAGCAGCAAATGGATTTTCCTCCAGCTCGCCGAATTAAGTGAATTACGGCGTTGTTTCCGCTTTCACAGCACGACTGAATAATGGCAACCTGAACTGAGAGGCAGTTTAAAGAGAGCGGAATTCCGAGCACGTACTTAATTCTAATAACTATCAGCAATGAACATAATGCTTGATTATAAGGTATCGTCTAAGCGAGCATTGACTGTAATTTTCTTTTATTAAGATTGTAAATCTTAGCTGCTCTTTTCAGCTGAACAAGAATACCCATTTTCTTCACCTTCCCTCGGCATTTCAAATAATGAAGCACTTTTTAAACGCTTATAAGAAATCATAAAAAAAAACTTAAGAAATGATGGGCCCTATTCAATAAATCAACATAGAAAAAAATAAGAACTGGAAATATCTCAATAAGATAAAACTATATTTAAGTGAACATAACAGCGATATAAAAATGTACGTTCAAATTAAACGTAAGACATTTCGGTTCTAAAATGTAATCCTTTTACAAGACATTAAAATGCAATGGTATATATAACGCAAATTATTATTTAAATTCGATATCCGTTAACAAATTACAAGAAAGAACAGCAATTGTATTTTAAACAGTTTATCACCTAATATCAGACGTAAACTCTTTATTGCCTGTTCTTATCCATTATTTTTCTAGGTTCATAAAAAACATACAAAACAAATGCTTTCTTATAAAGCAACTTTAAGGCTGTATACATATAATATTTTTCTTCTTATAAGAACGTTAAACGATGATTTGCACTCTATTCTCATAAAAACTAGTTAACAATTTTAAAATATAATGTTAGAAAGAAAAATGTTAAATTCGTTTCTCTTATATTTACATCTTTTTGTAATAATTTAATAATCTTTTTATACCCGTCATTTTTATGCAGTTGCGTATAGAAGAATCCTGAAATATTAATATACATCAAAATTTTTTGTATGTAAATGCCATTACTTGCGATAAATTAAAATCATTTGTCTCAAGGGTAAAACAAAATTTTAATTAATTTTAAGTGATATGCACTTTTCACGTGCTCTGATTACCATTGCATTAATTGATGTATTCCACACAACATCCGACTCTCACACAAGAAGCGACTTCCACACAGAAAAGATATTGAATTTCTTTTAATGGCTTGGTGAAAATCAGGGTTCACATTATCCCATGGGAAATCGTATCAATGAGAAACTGTATCTGTGTGAGTATCAAAGCATGTTTGAGTTAAGAAAACCGTTTAAACAGTAGTGGGTCGATCGATGAACATTTGATAAAGATACTCCCACTTGGAACCGCGGTAAACTCCCGATCGGCCATAAATAATCGCCAGTAGCGCGGCAGACTGGTTCATAATGTATAAAAACTGGGTGGATACTACCAGTGAGGTATGAAAGTTAGATAAGACGAATGGACCAACGAGATCGCGCGGGATCGTTATCGATCCTCCATGAAATAAAACGGATTGTGGTGAGAGTTTCTGGGTCCATCCTGTTATCTTGGGCAGTAAAATATTTGGAAAAGCTGAATCATCCATTGCGCCGAAACAAAATGCATCGTCTTTACTTAGAAGAAAACTAACAATTCAAAATTTATTTCTTTAATATTACTTTTTACTCTTATGTCACAAGCACACATTAAGATTTTCTCAGATCTGTTTGCGGTACAGTATTACACTGTTGCTTTCACAGAATATAAAATACAATAATAATTAATGGGGCTACGTACGGTAATGAAACAGTGCGAGATTATATTTTTAAAAGTAGAAATTATTAATAAAAAATTTAACTAATATAATGTAAAAATTAAGCAAAAATTTAATCTTTAATTAAATATATTTTTCCTATGCTCAATTATTATTAAAATGACGCACAAAGGTTATAAATATTTTTAAAATTTTTTTATACTTTTTGTAGACTACCAGCTTTAATATTCCAATATGTTGCAACCAGACGCGTTTATCCTTTCAATAAAGGGAATTGATTCCCCTAAGTATCACGAGTACATTTTATTTCTCCACTAAAAAAATTTTACACACACACATACACACACACACATATACATATACGTATATAGTTGAAATCGTTATACTGTTTTAATCCTATTTACACACGTGCTTGTTCAAAAAAGATATTCGATATTCATTGCTGCGATTAACTTACATCGTATTAATTGTGAATAGAGTCATTTCAAACGGTTTCAATTAATCACGATTGTCTGCACGTGAATCGCCCAAATCGGTTACTCTCAGGCTTCGTTCTGGCAGCTTACACATAGATAACGTACAAAAATGCCCAGCGAAAAGATAGAATGTAGCATAGCAACGAAAATAAATGTGTCACAAATTTCCGAACCATAGATATGTTACATCCCGAGTAAAGCCAACGGCACACGATACTATTTTTCCTACTGGATCGCTTACGAGAGCCAATCAGGATTTAGCTTTAAGTCACCTGATCTAAAACTCTGAATCCTTATTGGTTCTCGTAAGCAATCCAGTAAGAAAAATAGTATCGTGTGTCGAAAGGCTTAACCCTTCTCCTCTTTCATATATACGCTTATACGCATATCTCTCACTCGATAGTCCTAAATAAATCGTGCATTATCGCTCCTAAGATAGGAGATACGTATGACTCACAGACAAGAGGGAACTTTCCATTAGCTTTTTAGAAATGAGATTCCTTTTTCAACAAACCAATATGCGTATATATTTATAACAATAACGTAAGATAAAAACTCTCCTCTAATGCGAAACGAATATTACTTGTTTTTCTCTTCTTTTTCCACCTCTTTTGCAGTGTTTAATAAAATATTTTATATCTAAGAATCTAGAAAAGATAGAACTACGACTCAAAAACAGAGATACTTCGCTTCGCATAGGGATAAAAATGATTAAGAGAAAAGAACAGAAAGTTTATCAGAAATGTATTATTTAAACTTTTCAACTTTTAAGTCAAGATTTGATAGAGTCGGGGGGTAGAGATAACGCGAAATGTTACGATTGTCGCTGCCAATAGCATGGCACCGTCCCGAAAAATAACAATTCCTTTGGTTTCTCTTTAAATAATAAATTCCTTTGATGCCTACTAAAGGCGGATTTCGACAACGGGAGAAGAGATTGAAATTTCAAATCAAAACGGCTAATAATTCTTACCAAGATCCTTTTCCCTTTTACGAAAGACTATCGCAATTATTACAACAGACACAAAACAACTTAGTACTAGCAACGAAACATACATCCTCAACATATTTATATACTTTCCTTAAAGAAATAGAAATCGATCTCAAATTTGCTAAATACAAGGCCATTTCTAAGAGGGATCCACATACATTTGCGTATAAGCTTCGTCTATTTGGAATCGGTTTCCCCATAGAACTTCCTGTCAACTATCCAATCCTCCCCCCTTCTAATATTCCATAAAATTTCACACAATTAATCTCCGTCCCAGGGTAAATTGCTTCAATGCATTGACCTGAAAAAAAGAGAATTTGTATGACGTAAAAACGTAACAGATACAAGTAGAGCGTCCATGAGTATAAAAATCTATGTACAGAACATTGTTTAAATACGCGTCTCATGAATGAATAATCATAGATGTAAAAGTGTAGTGCTATTTTCTCGCATCGTCTGACGAAAGAAGTAAATTTGACTACCTCGAAAGAGTTCACCGCAACTTTTTACTCAACAGAATTCAGAAGGTAAAATACAGGCAAAAAATTTTTCTCCCAGTTTTCGTTGCAACGATTTTAGTGTAAATAGAGGTCTCCGAGAATTTTACTTCTTTGAAAAAAGCATAAGAATACAGAAAAGTGATGAAAATATTACTTATAATTTCTATACTGTAGATCCCCGTCGTAAATATACTTTTCTTTATGTAAAATGC